GGAAAGGTATTCGGCCGCGGCCTCGAGCCTTCGAGGTGATATTCCGAGTGCCTCAATGACGAGAAATTGGACCCTCCGATTTCACCGTATACAATATTTCTCTCATTTAAGTATGTGTAAGGTAGATGTTACTACAATTTTTGGTAGTAGTAATTTAATTGAAGGCTCTGGAAGAGCTGCTATAACTCTGCCCAAGGGAACAATACTTATCATAGAGAATACAATATTCTCCTCCAAGTCCAAGATGAACTTGTTGAGTTTTAAAGATATCCGCAGAAATGGATATCATATTGAGACAATAGATGAGAATAATCTTGAATATCTCATCATTACTAAAAATGTCTCTGGCCAGAAAAGGGTTATTGAGAAGTTTCCATGTTTGTCTTGTGGCCTGTATTGGACAAGAATTAGTGCAATTGAGGCACATTCTATTGTAAACCAAAAGGTTACTAATTCTAATACTTTTGTACTTTGGCATGATCGATTGGGACACCCTGGATCAATTATGATGAGACGATTTATAGAAACTCAAATGGTCATCCATTTAAAGAATTTAAAGATTCTTTTAAATAATGAATTTTCTTGCACTTCTTGTTATCAAGGCAAGTTATTATTAGACCATCACCAACAAAAGTTGGAATTGAGTCCCTTGCATTTTTGGAACGTATACAAGGGGACATTTGTGGACCTAATCACCCACATAGTGGGTCGTTTAGATATTTTATGGTCTTAATAGATGCATTTTCTAGATGATCTCATGTGTGTCTATTGTCATCTCGCAACCTCGCGTTTGCAAAATTAATGGCACAAATAATTTGATTACGGGCGCAATTCCCCGATAATCCAATTAAGTCTATTAGACTTGATAATGCTGCTGAGTTTTCATCCCAATAATTTAATGATTATTGCTTATCAACTGGGATAAAAGTGGAACATCCTGTAGCTCATGTTGATAGTCAAAATGGCCTTGCAGAGTCTTTAATTAAACGTCTGCAATTGATAGCAAGATCGTTACTCATGAAAACGAGGTTGCCCACTTCTGTTTGGGATCACGCCATTTTACATGCAGTAATGCTAATTCGTCTTAGACCGACAAATTATCATAAATATTTCTCGTTGCAATTAGTTTTGGGTCATGAACCTGATATATCCCATTTAAGAATTTTTGGATGCGCAGTATATATGCCTGTAGCACCACCATATCGCACCAAAATGGGTCCCCAAAGAAGGTTAGGAATATATGTTGGGTTTGAATCGCCTTCCATTATTCGCTACCTCGAAACATTAACGGGGGATTTGTTTACTACACGATTTGCAGACTGTCGATTGGATGAGACACTTTTTCCAAAATTAGGGGGAGAAGTTGGTGAAACAAACGGGAAATTTTGTGGAAAAATCCATCATTATCTCATCTTGATCTGCGTGCCTCTATTTGTGAAAAAAAGGTACAAAAAATTATTCATTTGCAGAGAATAGCAAATCAAATGCCAGACGCATTTACAGAACTGAAAAGGATAACAAAATCACACATCCATGCAGAGAATGTTCCAATCCGTATTGATGTCCCTATTGGACAATCTTCTAGTGTCACAGCTAATGAGTCAAAAGCACGCCTAAAACGTGGCAGACCATTAGGTTCTAAGGATCGAAATCCTAGAAAAAGGAGAACAAATGATCAAAATGACACTATGAAAGAGTCTCATGAAGAATTCCACGATTTAACCAATCCTGAGATTCATGAGGAAATCACTGAGCCTGAGACTCAAGAAAATAAGGAACTATCAATAAGTCCAATCAATATTGAGACAAATTTGAATCGATTGGATATAGTGGTGGATTATGTCTTTGCATATAATGTTGCATCTAGCATTATGCAAGATAGTGAGGATCTTGAACCTCAATCTGTTCTCCAAACAAAGACGTGATTGGCCAAAATGGCAAGAAGCAATCCAATCAGAGTTGAATTCACTTACAAAACATGAAGTTTTTGGGCCTGTAGTCCAAACACCTAATGGTGTTAAGCCTGTTGGCTATAAATGGGTCTTTGTACGCAAGAGGAATGAGAAAAATGAGGTACAAAGATATAAGGCACACCTTGTTGTACAAGGATTTTTACAAAGGCCTGGTGTCGATTATGAAGAGACATATTCACCCGTTATGGATGCTATAACATTCCGTTATCTCATTAGTTTTGCTGTCCATGAAAAACTTGACATGCATTTAATGGATGTGGTTACCGCCTACCTTTATGGCTCACTTGATAATGAGATATACATGAAAATTCCCGAGGGATTTAAAATGCCTAACGCAAATAATTCAAAGTCCCGAAAAATGTTTTCAATCAAATTGCAAAGATCTTTGTATGGTCTAAAGCAATCAGGACGAATATGGTATAATCATCTTAGTGAGTATTTATTAAAGGGAGGGTATATAAATGATGCCATTTGTCCATGTATTTTTATAAAGAAAACACCATCGGAATTTGTTGTACTTGCCGTATATGTTGATGACATAAACCTTATTGGAACTCCTATAGAACTCCAAAAGGCAATTGATTATTTAAAGAAGGAATTCGAAATGAAAGACTCGGAAAGACTAAATCATGTCTTAGTTTGCAAATTGAACATTTGGCAAACGGAATTTTTGTTCATCACTCTGCCTACATAGAAAAGGTATTGAAATAGTTTTACATGGATGTAGCACATCCATTAAGTACTCCGATGGTTGTTCGATCACTTGATATGAATAAGGATCCATTCCGACCTCAAGAAAAGAATGAAGAGCTACTTGGTCCTGAAGTACCATATCTTAGTGCAATTGGTGCACTAATGTATCTTGCTAACACTACAAGGCCTGACATAACCTTTTCAGTCAATGTCTTAGCAAGATATAGCTCTGCTCCTACAAGGAGACATTGGAATGGAATCAAACATATATTGCGGTATCTAAAAGGAACTACCGATATGGGCTTATTTTATGGCAATAATTGCAGTCCCGATCTTGTTGGTTGTGCCGATGCTGGGTATTTATCTGACCCACACAAGGCTCGATCTCAAACAGGTTATGTGTTTACCTGTGGAGGCACTGCCATATCTTGGCGATCGACTAAGCAATCAATTGTGGCTACTTCATCTAATCATGCTGAGATAATTGCTATTCATGAAGCAAGTCGAGAGTGTGTGTGGTTGAGGTCTATAGTACATCTTATTCGAGACAAATGCGGTTTGAAATGTGACAAACTACCCACGATTTTGTATGAAGACAATGCAACATGCATAGCTCAACTGAAGGGAGGATTCATAAAAGGAGATAGGACAAAGCACATTTCACCAAAGTTATTTTTCACACATGATCTTCAAAAGAATGGTGATATCAATGTGCAACAGATTTGTTCAAGTGATAATATGGCTTATTTGTTCACAAAATCTCTACCGACGTCAACCTTCAAGAAGCTAGTACACAAGATTGGGATGCGAAGGCTCAAGGATGTGAAATGATGCTCTCATAAGGGGGAGTTTAATACGTGTTGTACTCTTTTCCCTTAAAAGATTTTGTCCCACTTGATTTTTCTTGCAAAGTTTTTAACGAGGCAACCAAAAGGCGTATTATTAAACATGTTTACTCTTTTTCCTTTTCTAGAAATTTTTTTTCCATTGGGTTTTATTTTAGTTAAGGTTTAACGAGGCACATTACTTATTGAGTAGACATTCAAGGGAGAGTGTTATGAATTGAATTGTAATTAGAGTGAATGTCTATCTTGTAGAGAATTTTACTTTGTGACTAAGTCATTTTCCCCCTATAAATAAAGGGGTCTTATCCCATTGTAAATCATCCCAAAATTCAATAAGAATTCTCTCTCTGCAATATTATTCTTTTCCTTATTATTTTATTACATAAATCAAAATGTGAATGCATATTAATTAACGGCGATAAACAACATACACTATGCATTTGTATTTTGTATGCATTATTAAGGACAAATAAACTTTATGAATTCTAGAATCTGAAATTGGCAGCAACCGTGCCAAAACCGCAAAAGAAACAAAGTCACCTCAGCATCTATTTGAAGACATCTAAGCAAAAAGTCGCCATCTTTCCTTTTCTCTAATTACTCCTGTCTGCATCGACCACGTCGAAGTTCCTTGTGAAATTAAACTCCACCTCAAATCCCTTCATTCCTGTACCTTCTCTTCTTTATTCCCATTGCTTATCTCCTCCGTCAATTCCCGGATCAGGAAATGCGTGATCATCCCTTTTAGGTTCTCTTGGTTCTTGCTGGAGTATTTCTTTCTTGTAGGTATGTTAATTAGAACTTACTCACCACATACCCATTTTCTTTTTTAATACAGGGTTAGATCTGTTGGTTTATTCAGCTTAATTGGCGTTTATTTATATGTTGTCAGCTAACAAGTTGAATTGTGAAGATGGGTAAGGACAAAGAGAAATTGACCAAAAGTTGTGAAGATCAAAAGTTGTGTGGTTCAAAGGAAGGGAAAGGGAAGAGATTATGGAAGAAGGTGAAGTACCAGCTGGTGGAGTACCATTCGTTGCCTGCCTATTTGAAAGACAACGAATACATTCTTGGCCATTACCGGGCCGAATGGCCTTTGAAGCAGGCCTTACTCAGCATTTTCACTATTCACAATGAGACCCTCAATGTTTGGACGTAAGATTTCCCAATTCTTCACTTTTTATATTTTAACAACCCTCTTATCCCAAGTTCATGTTTTATAGAATTGAAGTTTGATTTCAAACTTTTTTGCTTTACATTAATTGACTTGTATAGTATCCAGAACTACTCATCTTTTATCTTTATGCATATATCCCTTATGTTTGGCTCTAAAGATTTGAAAAGACCATATGCTATGAATTGAATTTCGACGCAACATTTTTCAACTTCATTGTTGAGGGCAGTAAGCCACACTGTAATCTTAGGTGCGTTGAACTTGGCTGAAAAGAGGTCAATTAGTCATTTAGCTGCTGTCCTAAGATGAGGAGGATCTTTTCAGACTGAGAAGTAGCATCTATTTTTCTTTGTTTGAAAGGGTTATTGGATTGATTGTTATACTTATAGTAATTTGGTGCTAAAAACATAAAAGTTTTTCATGAGTGCTACTGTTGTCTAACCAAGGATAAGAATGCTACTTAGTCATTTACGTTCTGGTTCAGAAGTTGGGCTTAGAAGAGATCTATAGAGGGTTTAATAAGTGTGCAGTAATAGTTAGCAATAATTCCGAAACTGATCTATGGGATTGTTAACAAAGTCAAGAATAGACTCTTGCACTAGTGAAATTTGTCAGAGATCCCAACTCATGTTTGAAGAGTAACATATGTATTCTACGGTTGTGCCTTGTATGGAGTTTAGGTACAAGGCGGACAGGTTAATTTACCTTTTGAATTTCCTTACTAAACCTCTACTGAAGCGGAAACTGCTGTTGTAGCATGTGCCTTCAGTTCTATTTCATGTATCCCAACATACTAATTTAAAATTAAGAAATAATAGATTACTGACCAGAATCTTGATTTTCCTACTTGTTATAGGCATTTGATAGGGTTCTTCCTCTTCCTTGCGCTGACCATTTATACTGCAATCCAAGTTCCCAAGGTTGTAGATCTACATTCCTTACACAATCTCCCTGATGTGCTGAGGAAGGCTGATTTACACAAATTACAATCAGAGCTTTTGACTTGTCTTCCTTCTTTGCCGCATATGCCTGATTTGCACAGACTTCGAGATGGTTTGCTACTATCCCCCTCTAGTTGGCATATTCTTGATCTCCTGACTAACTGTCTACCTGAGCGTTTTTCCCTCAGCAACCATACGGATGTCTGCGTACTGGTAAGAATGCCTCATCATTCAACTACTAGTTAGTGTCTGCTTAAGCTGCACGTGTATGAAAGCACCATTGCTTCTAATGACTTCTCATTTTAGATTAAATAACCATAATTATCCAGCTGTCTATACTGTACTGCTTGTTTACTTTGATTTCATCTTATTGATGCTAACTGGTGCTGTCCTAGCTGTTATCAATGCCATTAAAGATGACTTTGTTTGGCCGGGAATTCTCAAATCTATAGTGGCGTTTATATCTTCTTTGGGCACTGGTGCAGCCAATTTTTATTTCTTTTATTCCATCTGTCTTGCTTGCTTGGCTAAAGAGAGTATTCTATAAGACTATTCAAAGAGAGTGGCTAAACACTTATTAGTACACAAAATTTGTCATTTCGAATTAAGTTTGTTCATAGGCTGATTGATTTCTGCTGCAGCATTAATTCCTATTCACGTTGCTAAAGGGCTTCTTCTCCGACTTCTTTTTTCTCCTATATCAGAACCTTCTGAATTATTTGATTGGATATTCCCATGTGATGTTATTCATCTGACAGCCTTTTTGCCTTTGGTTTTCTTTCAACACTATTGCTACCTCAACCTTAAGATTTCCAATCTCAGCATATAGACATTTTCCAATGAGTTCTGACGGGGCTCTATTGCTCAATAATTAAACAGTTGAGACAAGTAGGGAGTCGTATCTTTAAATTTCTGGAGACTGGAACGAGGATGTCGACCTGTTACATATCATAAAAAAGAAAAGAAAAGAAAAAGGACATGAAGCTGTTAGAAAGTTGGAGTTATTGCTAATACTTAAATATAAACTTCTTCCTAATGAAAATACAACTTGTATACGTCTCCCCTGGAAAAGTTAATCTGCCAAGTTCTCCTTGTTCTGTTAGTGCTTAAAAATTTCCTTTACTCTTTCTGGGCCGTGCTTATGGTATTTTTTTAATTTTTTTTTCTTTGTTGGATGGCTAGTCTGCTGCTTCATGCATTGCATGGTATGTATGTGCCATCCTATCAAAATTTATACAATTGCTTATTTTAAACCATTTGAATAATCTCCCTATTTATCTGATTTTTCTATTATCCTTCTTATCTTAGTAAAGCTTCATATTGGGTCTTTGTTCTTATTCAGCCTTCTTAGAGACTAAGAAATCTGTTCATCTAAACAAGATCCCCTTGAAAAGACCTTCATGTTTGTTCTGTAATTGGGGTGTCCCCAGGTAAAAGATAAAAGGTCACTTGGGTTGCCATATTGGGACTCCTCTAGATTCTCTAATGAGGAGTCTCTTTGTATTATGTGCTTCCCTTGCATTATCTTTTGTAGTACGGTTAAGGTTGAGTTTTTCTTCTACTGGATTGCATAAATAAAAACTTTCCTAAAGTTTGCCTTTTTGACACGACCTCCACTCTTTACAGGAAGCTATGTCAATTCATCCTAAATGAGAACATGGTTAAGTATTAATATTTATTCGTGAAATGTGCATCTCTCCACTATGCCATTGCATGTCAATTTTCTACTCTGAGGCTCCCTTCTAAAGGTTGTCCCTTCAGTTACTTGGATTCCTCTCATTTTCTGATAGATTCAGCCAAGTAACCTCAGAAGTGCTTGCATAAGGAAAATTAAGTAAAGAATGGTAGTTTGATAAATCAGAAAACAGGAGTTAACAACCAACTTCTGGTCCATTATGTCCTTTCAAGTGATAATACCTATTAAACTTCTATACAAGAGAGCTAATATCCCCTAGTTATGATTGCTTCTAATCGTAGGCAGAAGTAGCCTTATTTTGAAACAATCAGTGAAATCACTTGGTGAATGGTATATGCACTCGATGGTCTAGCTGTCTACTAGTTAACTTATTGATATTTCACTATTGTTCAATTTTTGCAGCGGAGTGTAAAGGAAGATGTGGCAAATATAATAGCACCATTGCTGGTGAGACCAATAACACGCTGGCCATTCTACGCCTTCCTTGGTGGGGCCATGTTTTGCTTGTTAGCAAGCAGCACATGTCATTTACTTTCTTGCCATTCAGAGCGTTTATCATACATCATGCTGAGGCTCGACTATGCTGGTATCGCTGCCCTGATATCTACTTCATTTTACCCTCCCGTCTATTATTCCTTCATGTGTTACCCCTTCTTTTGCAACCTGTACCTGGGATTTATTACCCTCCTGGGAATTGCCACCATCTTGGGTTCACTCCTTCCTGTGTTCCAGACCCCAGAATATCGAACCATTCGAGCATCTCTATTCTTTGGAATGGGCTTTTCAGGTGCTGTACCTATTCTGCACAAGCTGGTTTTATTTTGGCACCAACCCGAGGCGCTTCACACAACTGGATATGAACTTTTGATGGGCATATTTTATGGCATTGGAGCACTGGTATATGCCATGAGAGTTCCAGAAAGATGGATGCCCGGGAAGTTTGATATTGCTGGCCACAGCCACCAACTATTTCATGTACTTGTTGTGGCAGGGGCTTATACTCATTACCATGCAGGGTTGGTTTATCTCCGGTGGCGAGACCTGCAAGGATGCTAAGAGCTATTCAAGAATGGAAAAATCAGTGAGAATCCTTTATGATGCATTAGGCTAGTTCAAATGTACGTAAATGTTGAGAAGATGTGTTGTCCCTCTGTTGTTTGCCCATCTTCAGTAATAAATGTTCTCATTTAGCAGCGATTATCGGTCAATTATCCTGTAGTATGTTATCAGGCACAATATGTACTTTCGTATTATCTTCGGTGAGATCTGTATCTAAGATTTTAGAGTTTCAACCACACTGAAAGTTAATAGGATCTAGTCCAGCTTGAAGTATCTTATACAATGAAATGATTTCGTGGAGTAAAGTTAGATTTGCTTGGAACATATATATAAAAATAAAGGGGGTTTGCACAGTTACCCTAAAAAATAAAACTATTTACCTTTGTCTACCCATTTGTTTTTCTACCCATAAACTAATTACATTTCCTACCCATAGTAGTTTTTGTGGGGATTTTTTTTCTATATTCTCCAATTCTTTTTTATTTCTATGATTCTTTTTTTTTTTCCTTTTTTTCTTTCTTTTCTCCTTTTCTTTTTTCTCATTTTCTTCCTATTTTTTTCTTTTTTCTCTTTTATTAATTTATTTTTGCCTAAATCGTATTATTGTTATTTTTACCATAACTTATTTCACACTCAAATTTGACTCCTTCTTTACTTTTTTTATTTTTATTTTTTTTCTTTATTTCTTGTTCCTTTTCTAATTTCACGTGATTGCCATGCAAACCTTGATCTCTTTCCCTACAAATATCAGTACATACTCTACCATTAACAGTAACACCAACCAGTGATGGAGCAAGAAAACATAATCTACGGCCACTAAATCTCCATATATACTAGTTAGAATAGAAATGATAATAAAATATTGAAAAATGCAATAAAAATGTAAGTAGCAAAAAAGACTTCTAGTACCATATGATACCAATATGGTATAGAAAGAATTACGGATATAATCACTTGGCCCAGCAGCCCAACTAAAAATAGCCTAGGTTTGAAGTCTTTACCCGATATGGCCCATGTTGCATATAATTTGAAAGAAACTTTTCATTCTTTAGCCCATTATTAAAGATATACTTCTAGGGTTTTTTTCTTTTCTTCTTTCTTCTTTCTCAGCATCTCAATGTCTCTTCACTCGCCTCTCCTTCCTTCTCCTAAAAATTACAGGATTTTTTTCTATACACTCGTGATAATTGCTTTTGAGCACTCAAGTGAAGAAACAAAAACAAATACTGTAACATTTCAGTAATTTTTGTGCTCTATACAGATGTGCACAATGGCTCTTTAATCCTCGCATTCTATGTCAATTCGATTTCGATTTTTGAGTTAATTGACAAAAGGAGGTTAAGGAACCGCAATAAGATTTGGCATATCAGTCTAAAAACTATCAGATCTGGCCTAAAACTATCAGATCTTGCCTAAAAGAGCATCTCCGGCAATCTCGTCTCATGTTTTCTTATTTCTCTTAGTTTTTGTTTCATCTTTTGCAACTGGTGAAGCCCAAATTTGAAGCCAAAAACTCGCCGGAAAAATTCAACACCAGCAACCACCGAAATCTGTAATGTGGTGATGGACAGGAGGTGTTTTCTAGTGTAAATTTGTATAGGTAGTGTTTATACACACTTATACAATATTGTATAAATATGTATAAGTGTGTATATCTGCGTACAATGTTGTATAAATTATCTATATTTTTAATGTATAAGTGTGTATATACGTTATACGTGTATAATAGGCATCCATGGATGTTTGACACTTTCTTTTTTTTTCTTTTTTGTCTTATTTTTCTGATATACATTATTAGGTATTGTATATACAAGTTTATACAAAGTTATACATCATTATACATGTAATGCACATGTGCAGTTAAATCTAAATTAAAATTTTATATGTTTAATCTATGTACAAATCGACTTTTTTTGTTGATTTATTTGCCAAATCATGAACATGCAATAATTTTTTTAATTTTTATTTTTTATTTATGCTATTTGGAACTTGGAAAAGAAGAAAATTTAAGGTTTTCAAGTTGCATTATATATGAATTTGAATTTTTTGTGGTTGGAATAGGAATATATACAAACTTGGGGAAGAAGAATAAAAAATCACAAAATTTTTGTGCTTGAAGATCTGCAGAATAAAAAAAAAAGAAAAAAATGCTTATTTTTCGAACTTTGGCCTATTGTTAATGGGCTACAGATTTGCAAAGTTATAACTGGGTTATTCTAATGCAATGTATATGGGTGGACTGTATTTTTGTGTAATTCTCCCTATGGTATACATGTATACCAACAGAGTATATGATTGCTCTAGAATATTGCTACAACTATCTGTGACTATACTACTGTACCAAAACATTAAAGGATACAATAAAAATATGAGAAAATTACATGCTCTCATTGCAAAATATTCGCAAAGCAACTTGCTCATTCCATATACGAACAGGGTATATAGTTGTATGGGTTGTTCCAACAATTGCCTATAATTATAAAAACTAGTACATAATCTATATTCATCAGCATAAAAAAATTCCAGCACTGCAAATCACGTTCATATAAATAATTTCAGAATAGAATTCACTTAAAAATGCAGCCAAGACAACCAAATGTTCAAACTACCATAGGATACCAATATGGTATATAACTATACCAACATGGTATACAGTTTTACTGGTTAATTTCCGGCAACTATATGACTATACTACTATTACATAACACACATGCATAAAGAGAAAAATAAAAAAATAGTGTACCACATATTAATATAATAAAGTATTTCAACATATTGTACTATATTACTATTATTAAAAGAAAATCAAATATTGTACTAATAAATGCTGCTAATACAACCAAAAAATGATTCAACTAGCATATGATACCAATATAGTATATAGCTATACTAATAGGGTATATAGTTTGAATGAATTGTATACCAAAATGGTATATTTGTATACTATTTGAGTATACAATACAAATTCGTCTTCTTCTCTTGTTCAACGATATTTCAACCCAAACTTCTAAAATCTACTACAAAATCTCCACCAAATTGACTAAAACTTTAACTACAACCTCCAATCAACTTTCCAAACAAACCCATATAGGACCGGATCAAAACAATTAAAAACTCAAACAAACCAAGTTATGAGTTTCAAGCTTCAAGCTCCTTCAATGGTGGATTTGAATTTTTGTACAATAAAATATTTGAAAATTAGCATTAATATCATAATCAAAGAACAATACCCAATAAATTCCAACAGCAAACACTTCAACACACATGAAAATTCAAATTTTAGTTATATAGTATATATTATTTTTTGTTTTACTTTTAGAAGATAAAATAAATTATGGAGCACAAATTAAAAAAAAAGGTGATGATAGCAGAAAAAGGTACAATACTAACAACACTGCCCACTATTGAAAAAAGCTAACTATTCTTTGGCTTCTTTTTAGGATTCACACGTTTGTTGCTTTAAATTAGATATTCCATCGCAAGCGAGAATTGAATGGGCGGGTAATTAGTTGTAATAGAATAGGTATTTGATGTAATTACTTTTAAAATGGGTAATTACGGATAATTACTTTTGATTATGTAGGTATATAGAGTAGTTTTCCCAAAAATAATAAAAGGAATTCCGAAGCGGCCAGTCATCAGGGAAATAGTCATATGTTCTACAGCCTACAGTTGGTGTAGATTGAGGGAACCTCTTTTGTTTGTACCTAAAAAGTTACACTGAGCATGAAAAATATGAATTGCTCTCGTTGAGAGTCGAACTCAAGACCTCCCGCTTACTAAACGGGTGCTCTAACCAACTGAGCTACGAGAGCTTGTTGGCAGTGAGGCAACTGTATAAAGTAAAGAATATTTCTGTCGCACAGTGCAGTACTGCTCTAATCTAACATATTATCACGTGATGAACCAACTCCACCCAAAATTAAATCAAGATCCGCTCAACCTGCTGCACTTTTTAATCCGAACTGTTACCTAGTTAATTACATACTATGGAAAACCAACTTTGACAACGAAACAAAACACGTGATATCGCTAATTAAGTGCCTACGGCCTAATTTAAGCAAACAAAAAGTTAATTTTACATACGTCATTGTGTAAGATGTAATTTTTTTCCTGTTAAAAAAGCAAATTTATTTAGGTTTTTGCCTATCTATTCTCAACATAATTGTTGAAGCAACAAAAGGTGTATTTACCATAGTCCAAACCATTTCCATGAAAAAGAAGTGTATTTATGTTTGTAGTGAATACGAGATACTGTTACATCAGTTATATTTCTAGCTATATACCTCCGGAATTGCTAAACTGCTCGTTCAATTCTGTGAATATTAATTAAGTTCACAGAATACTCGAAATTAACACTTACAGCTTGTTTGGATGGTTGTTCCCCATTGTATCGTATTGTATTGTTATTCCAAAACAATGTTTGTTTTGATTGTTTTATTAAAATTGGTTGTATTGTATTGTTAAATTCATTGTTCCGAAACAATGAAAAAGTCCCCTTTTTTTAAACAACCGATTTGGTGTGGTGGGATTGTTTCCTATTTTTCTTTTCAATTATGTCCTAACTTATTACTCCACAATTCTATTTTATCCTTTACCTTTTTTTTCTATTTTAACTCCAAATCTCCAATCTATAACCTACTTTATTTTTTTCCAAAACTTTTGCCGCCAACGTTAAAGGTGTTTTGCCGCCTCCTATTTTATTTTTTCTCCTAATTTGTTTTTAACTCAATTCAAACTAGATGTGCTCCTTTGTTTTGCCTTCTTCTGTCTCGCTCCTTTGTTCTGCTTTCTTAAGGTGTGTTGCCTTCTTGTGTTTTAAATTCTTTTTATGCATAATTTTGATAAATTTAATAGTTAAATAATTGAGGGTATTTTAGTAAACTTATCAATTACAGTACAGTACGATACAGTCAAACCAAACAACAAAATATTATTTAACAGTAACAAACAATACAATCTATCCAAACATTGTATTCATAAAATGATACGATACAATAGGATACAATACAATACAATACATTATAAAACGATGGGAAATAATGATCCAAACGGAGTGTTAGCTAGTATGAACAAACATTCAACAAAATATCAAAAAAAAAAAAGGAAGATGAAAAGTATCTAGCAAATCTGACACAATTTAAGAAGTCACATGGGAACTTTAAAGAAAATTGGAAATAAAGGCGTATGACTTGAATTTCCTATGATATCGAAACAAAGGTCTACGGTTAGTAGTGGTATTATTTTATGCTCAAGGTGATACAATTTATATAGAAGTTCATAGAACAGTAGTAATAAGGAAACT